TTGGATTTGTCCAAGAGGGGCTTCTAAAGATAGAGGCCCATTTTCAGGCTTTGGGTCTTTATGAGCTGTCTTTATTGGAATATGAAAGTACTAATAGCTGTACAGCTAATGGAAATGACACCTGCAGGGCCCACTGCTTTTCGCTTAATGACCGTCCCACATGAGCAAAGGGTACATTCCCTCCTCCGCAATCACCCAGCCACAACTTTCCTTTTGCTTTGTAGGCCCTGCTGCGCTATGGTGGCAATAGTGCGAGGAGGAGGGACAGGAGAGCGGGTCTGTGTCACGTACAAGCTTTCATTTCATTTTGTGGCATTATGTTTTTTCCTTTCTTCTTCCTACATCAGTTAATTTAGATGATGCAGACAACATATTTACACATGAAGTGGCTTTTCTTCACAATTGCTAATCAGGTCTAGCTCCTCTATAGTACTTGGATGTCAACCCACTCTTACAAAGAGGCCAGCATAATGCTTCCTTATGTTTTATCATCTATATTTTAAAAGCTATCTCAATGCAGCTTTTTTTAGAAACGTAGCTATATTTTACAATTTTTAAAATACCTAAAACTATTCTTTGGTAGTTTCCCCTAATAACTTCCACTGCCTTTTCATAGTTGATTGAATAGTACCTGATTGAATAGACCCCTTGACTGAATAGTACCTGATTGTTTAGCTGTAGACATAACAGAGCCAGCTTTAATGTACAGGGTCCTAGCATGGGAATGGGTAACATGCACCTCTCTGTTTGGTAACAAGCCATGCAGAGTCATGCTTCAAGAAGCTGTTTTCAGAGGGAAGGCTCATATACAGAAGCACTATTTTTTCTCCTCTGATTTTTATTGCAACACAATTTGGCAGAGTGTTTCCATTATTGAAACTACTACAGTGAAAGAGATTTCAAAACCAGTCTTTATTTACTTTGTTTATTCTGTTGAAGGGTTCAGATATAACTTCATTTATATACCAGCAGTAGCCTTACAGCACATGTAATTTACTGTTACAAACAGCAATGCATTTTATACAGCAGAACATCTACACATATGGAGAAACAAAGCCAACTACATTCACTATAATAATAAGATTGCTTCAGCAGCGTAAATGACAGAGTTAATGCTCAACTGTGTTAAATGGCTGCTATTTCCCTATTATAGTCAGTGATATATCTTCATTGTTCAGTAATGTAGCCAACAATTGAGAGTTAAGTAGTAGCCACTATTCACCTTCAGTAAGCTTTACAGGTATTTTACATGCAAAGAGATAAACTCCTTAAAATAGGCCATTTACTACATCCAACTGAATTACAGTGTATAAAACAGTAATGGTTATTTTCTAAAATATTACCGCATATTTTTGTTGTAGTAAAAGAGGTAAAGCCATGAAAACCAAGGGCAACGTATAAGCTTTTAATTTTATGCTGAGATAATGAATGCAAATGACTTTGTCAATATTAATCATGAGACCTTCACATTAACAATATAGGTTTTATAATCAAAAATCTATTATGGTAGTTTAAGTTTTTATTCAGAAAAAATTAAACTTACAATAATACACATTAAATATCACTCTTAGTCTTGCGTAATGTTAATTTGGTGCTGTTCCTCTGGCAAAAAAGAGTAGCCTTTTCCAAGCGTAAAGCCTATTTATAGTGCAGTCAGTTTTCTTTCCCTCCCTTGCCCTCTGTCCTTCCCCTGAGAAAGCACTCCCTGTTCTGAGTTTTCTGCCTGAACTTCACAGTTTAATACAAAACAGCACACGTTGGATTCGTCCCCAGTGGAGGAAATGACCAAAAGATCACACAACAGACATGACGTCTTATTGTGCTGTGGTTTTCAACCCATGATATGGGGAGAGGAGGAGAGTTTAAAGGAGAAATAAATCACGGTCTTGAAACGTAACTACCAAAAAAAAATCATGTTCATAGAAGCCATATGATAGGGTACGAAGGGGATCACACCCTCTTGAGAGCAGTATTTAGGCATCAGAAACAACCGATCACTTAACTGCTGTAAAGGGCACAAACAGTACTGTGAAGGGGATATTTTAACATTCGTAAAGACAGCAAATGCTTTGGGTTTATATTGCACTTAGTGCCACTGAAACAAATAATGTGCAAAACTTTTGAAATATACTCTAATGTATGCAAATATAGGCTATTATTTTGGGGGAAAAATCAAATAGAAAGGGCATTTGTTACCAACAGCTCTTCCTTACCTACAATTTCAACAGAAAAGTAAGGGCTGCTGTGGGAAGAAAACTAGATTTGGAGCATACCTGGCTCATGATGCAATTCCATGTATAATTCAATAAGGAAAGTTGCTTATAACACATCTTACTTTTCTATTCCCAGCTAGAGGAGTTTAGACAATGTGACAGCCTCTCTTAATACGGGAGGCGGTTTGGCTTGTTTTTGTAATTAAACATGAACAAAGAATCAGAGACAGCTCACCAACTTTTGCACTTCCCAGGATTCCCGAGCAATTTTACAGAAAGAGATTCAGTTCCAGGCTCTGTAAAATGATGACAGTATACAAACGTCTTTGTAAAGACCTGAAGTTATGGACGTTCACGTTTCTGTGGGGTAAGTTCGGTGCGAATGCAGCATGCCAGCAGCTCCACGCTAACTCACCACGTGCTCAACTTGGTAGCTTACCATCCCCTTTCAGGAGGAAACATACAGAGGGGCAGCAGTGATGTGTTAGGATGTCCATGACCTCAAGTAAAAGAAACTATAGAATAGCATGGCATTACTTCAAAACAGGCATTACTTCAAAACATCGGCACTCCCTTATTCACAGTATTTACGCTTAACTCGGGGCTCTGAAAGGAAATGAAAGTGACAGTTGAAGTCACTGATCCTGTCCCGATGGTGGTTGTGTACTACTAACTTCTTTATACTCAGTATTTAACGGACCCTTTTGACAGCAATCTTGCTCTTCATCACCTACTGCTGGTATAAAAGTGCTTTTTACATAATGAACTTGGGTCTAGATCTGATTTTATTCAGCTCTTCAGAAATGCTGGTCAGATTAGCACAAGCTCTGACAGGGCAACCAGCGTGAACCGTAAGCGCTCACCAAGAATGAAGCACAAGGCTGCTGCTCCAAGTTATTTAGATAGAAAGTTCTACGTAGTCTTCATGCCAGGGAAGAGATTGAGCTGCTGGGAACTTGATCCAGATGGCAGCCTTCAGATACGAACATAATAAAAACAACTTCTACCATGACAATTGGCACAAAAAATGTGGTAAAAGTGTGCATCTCCACTGAGATTTTTTTTGGTCTCCAGACAGTTTTAACTGTTTTAGTGGCTCTTAGAGCTTCCCCCATGGAATAATGTAACTTTTCCAGTCGTTATCAAGCCTAACGCTACTTGTTCAGAAAATGAACAATAATGTAAAAAAATTAAAGTAACGCAAAGTCTGATATAGCACATTTATCAAGTTACACATGTATACCTTGCTCTCCATCTTTTAACCAATATACACGCATACATGCAAAGTACTGAGAATTTAAAGCAGCTTTTTATTCCTACTCAAAACCTGCCATGTAAAGCAGGCTAAGCATTGCCTGCTCCATGTAAACAGCTTTATATTAAGCTTTAGAGCAGAATTTTTCACTGCAAGTCTCACCCTTCAGGCTAATCGGATGCTGTATCTCACTGAAGGCGGCTCCGGTAACCCCACCACTGACCCCTTCTAGCCAAACAACATGCACTCCACTTTTCCCTGAAGAATTACAACGAGAATCTATGAGAGGGGTGGAGAGGTTAGTCTCATCCTCATCTTTCTGTATTTTCAAATCTTAATTTTAACATAAAGTTATGTTTAGATTTTAGGAACTCAAAATAATAAATACAGATGAAGAAACAGGAAAGGCTACATGGCGCAGCCCTCTGCAAAAGGAACATAGACAGCAGAGACTGCTGCTGCTAATTTTTATTAGATGTGTTTGTAAACTCAGCTAGCTGACAGCTGGAGAGTTGTTCACAGGCAAAAAGGAGCACCCACGTTTTATTTCACATTGCAGGCAGTTACAGGAGTACTTCACACCTGCCAGTTTACATCTACCCAGGTATTCAGCATCTTCTTTTGAATTAGCCCCACACAGTAGTCTCCCCATCAGCTTGCACGGCCTATGGCAAAACTAAGCAACATGAGCTATTTTGGTACAGAGCAAGCCATAGGTGTTTGTGGAGGGAGAAAGCTAGACTATATTGTATTTCACAGCACTGTAAGCATTCTCCAGTATTATGACAGCTATTTACAGAGTCACAGTTATGAGTCTTGATTTTGCCTTTTCCTATCCCATAAGCATTTATTCTTATTATAAAGAAACATGGTAGTGATTATTATGCTTTACGTTGGCTGTAACCCTAGGACAATTCAGGAACTGAAACCATGATGCAGGTGGCAGCTTCCTTGGCAATCAGCACTTTGCAACTGGTGCAATGTGATACTTGTGCTCTGACTCTAAAAGCAGCTTCTTTTCTGAAGCCTCTAATTTTGCAGTAGGTTGTTTTGTTCACCTCCTTAAGCTAAAGTAGGACTTTCTTATCCTTAATCTGGACCCTGAAAAAGTATGAGCATGAACTTAATGATTGCACTGTGTCCTTTTTTGCTTTTCCAGAATCAGAGGTATCTCTAAGAATATTGAAGCGTCTTATTTTCCCTATTGAAATATAAACTGGAGAGTACCAAAGAAACTAACGGCTTAATATATATATATAAAATATATATTTTAAATCTCAAGAATGAATTTGAGGTGAAGCAGCCTCTACTTAACTACTCTTTAAAAATACTTTAATATGCAAGCATGTTCTGAACACACGCAACAAACCCCAATGTGTTATGCAGGAAACACAGCAAAGGTCTTACAATGACTGGGTGTTTGCATTCTTCTTGCATGCTAAATTCAAGACAAAGAAGATTTACTTTTAATGCCACAAAAAACTTGCAAGAATGTCAGAACATATAAAAAGTCAACAGGAGCCAAATATTTGTTTAGTAATATTATCCTTTATTATTTTACAATATATTTCAAAAACTTTTACAGATGCCTTGAACTGTTCTACAAGAGCTGCAATACTGTCAAAAAAGCACACCTACAGACCGAATGCACAAACAGTCATACCTACTGGTATTGAACCATTAATATCCAGAGGGTGTAGTCTTTTAGTAATGCAAATGCAAACAGATGTTAATGCAGAAAAATAAACTCTGCATTCATGGTTATAGAACAGAGGACTTTTCAAACACATTTGGTAACGGTAACATTCTAGACAGCAATGAGTAGTATTACATATTCAAAGCAATACATGCCCTGAAAAGCCTGTATTTTCAATCTGTGCGTTTAAACTTGAATCAAAAATAAACTATATATATATTAAAAAATGGGACACCTAGTCTGACAACAAGCTTTGTTTCTTTTTTGTCCTAGAATGGCAATTAAGTTGACTGGGTGAACTCTGACCTGCATTTTTATTTTCCATCATCATCTCTTCTGCATTTCCGTAATATTAGGACAGTCTGTGAATGTTTTTTTAATTCCTTCTGCATAGGCTCGGGGGAATAACTTTGATGTATTAAACTTCTGTCTCAGTCTCCAAGTGGTAAATATAGTTAGTATTATAGTAAATACACTACCACAAAAAAAAAAACATTGTATAACGAGGTTTACAATATTATTAAAATTCTCAGTTGTGTTCCTGTGGTGCAACAAAGCAGTGCCACTGTAGTTTTCAAGCACTGTAGATAGGATCCTCTCAGGCACACTGCCCTTATTAACATCTCAGATATCTATTATCTTCTTCCTACAGAAATTTTGCTTTTACCATTTTTTCATTGTTTTTTGTCACAAAAGTGACCCAGACATCTTTAAACCTACATTATCTGTAAGTAACAAGATAAAGCCAATTGTTTGCGTATGTTTTTAAGCTTATTTAAGCTGATGTACTTTCATGGGAGTCTCATGACAGACAAGGAAGGAACAGTAACTACATATCAGATTTCTGTTATGTAAAAAAATAAAAAGGGTTGAAGTCAAAACTTATGACAGCGGCACTGTGGCAAGAGGCATTCAGTTCTGCTTTATTCTTCAAGTTTATAAAGTTTTAGTTACCATTTGCTAACAGTAAACACCATTTCTTAACTCAATAAGGCCTACATCCCCCCAGTCTCTAAAGACAGAGCTGCAATGGGCCATCACTATGTCATACCACAGCTTTTTTGCTGCAGTCTTCTTCACTAGCCTAAGTAGCAGTCAGTGGTATTTTTTACTTATATACACGAGTCACTCACACCCATCATTACAAATATGTTCTAGCTTATTTACTGTACAACATATGCATATATATTTCTGTTTGTTCAACCCTTTGTTTCTTAACACTCCAGTGGTTAAGGGCAGGCTGGAGAAAATTTCATTATGCATAAAAGGGTTATAAATTTCAAGTCTGTAGTGATCCTATTTTAATAGCAAAAAGGGAACATGTCATGCTCAATCTGTAAACATGGTTGGCCAAAATACAGACAAAAAAGAGGCAGAATATATTTTTTCTCTGGAGTCAATGTCTAGAAAGTTAAACAAAGTGGCGTTAGTCCAAAGTGATGCAGAAATAAAAAAAGGCATTTTCATAATGCACAACTAGAGCTATTAAGAATTTTCTTTCACAGAGGCCCTGAGACTTGAGTTAAATGTATTTTCCCTACCACGTGTTTCATGTGAAGTCAAACTTAAAGCTCTGTACATATAGATGTTTGGCATATAACAGTGGACCCATTTTTAAAAAGGGAAGCAATAAAATCTACATGAAAAACAGATGAAAGGACAACTTGATTGGAGGCCTCTGTTCTTTGACCCCTGCCCTATCAGGCTAAACGTCCAATAAAATGTAAAATGCAGCATACGTTTGCGTAACCTAAAATTTTTGTGGTAATTTATTGCAAATTGCACTTGGCAGTTCACCACACCAATGGAAAACTGGCCCCCCTGTTGGTTCACACAGTCTTTTAACACGAAATACAAGTCACCAGTAGAAAGATCTGGATAAAAAGTTTGCTGCTGTGCTGAGCCAGCTTGCTGCACCTTCTGGGTGTGACCCAACACGAGACACAGCTTTATCCTGTTCCTTGGTAGGGCTTTCATCTTCTGGTAAATACTCAGGTAGATCTGTATTCTGCTCTACTTCTACTGGAGTATCTTGGAACGGAACCAGCATCTGATAAATGCAACAGATTAAGAAGATGTCAGATCTTTTAAATGAAAAGAGTAAGTAAAAGTTACACACATATATACCTTAAGGATGATATGCATGCATGTTCCAAGATTCAGATGCTCAGTTTATGCATGTGGGGGTGAGAAAAGGGTCTTATATATATCTAGAATCTATTACATTTAGAAGATGCACAAGAAAAGCTTGGGTTTAACATGAAAAGAGATTAAGGAAAAAAGAAATCATAAATCAAAAAAGATAGTTCTTTCACTGCAGAAGTGAAATAGAAGCACTTCAGCAACCCCTGCCAAAAAATAAAAGGCAATCTTCTCCATATCAGTAGAACCTAACATCAAGGAGAGAAACAATGATACTATTTTTACCCTTCTTTTAAGCAGCGCAATGGTAAGTTCTGTAAAACTGCTCTGTGGGTATATGTCCCTACATAGGGTAGTCTTTATCTTCCTTATACTGTATTTGGAGTACTCCCAATTAAAAAATGTTGCTTGGCATCAAATGTTATGGACACAGTTGTGCTGGTATTAAAGATCCAACCACCCTAAATCAATCACTACCTAGAAAGAAGCATATCCTACCTCCTCTCCACTTTCACTCTTCACAACTTGCTGCGCCTTCATAACTTTGGTCGATGCTATTGCTGTCGCCAAAGCCTACAACAAGGGGAAGAGCACACAGAAAAAACATAAAAGCTTTGCATGACAGAACTGCAATAGATGCGAGATCTGGAGAGTTATTTAGCACTTACCTCTGCTTTTAAGTCTGAGCGAATTCGGACCACACATCTTTGAACAGCCATTTGAAAAGTAAAACTAATAACACCTTTAATTTTCAACAAGGCCTCTTCACAAAGATTCCTTCGAGACTAAAAAAAATAAAAACAACAAAAAATAAAAAACCACACCCGACTCAAGTACTGACAGAAGACACCATGTGAAAACGCTAACAATTAGCGGTAAGGAATTCCTGCATGTCTGAAGGCAGATGGCTCTCAACAGCAATTTCATAAAAGAAACTAGGGCAAGTTACATTTATTTTCCTGAACAAATACTAAACTCTCTTGCTACAGAAGAATTAAAAAAAATGCTTACATTTTAGAAGTCAAACAGGGATGGAATCAACTGTAAATAATCAGAGAAAAGTGCTGAAAAACAAAGAATGTTTTTCTCCGTATGATCAGCTAAACAGTCCCCTGTGGTTAAGTTTTGACTGACTGAAGTGCTCATTGATGAACAGTTAGTGTTTAAGTTGCTATTTATCAGACACCTTGTGTTCATACTGACTGAACGCATCAAAGCAGCTGTTGTATCCTTCAGCTACCTCATCTGTGGCAGCTCATGGACATCATGGCACAGCATAAGCTTAACTCTTATTTCAAGGGGAAAATGTTTGGTTGATAAACCACAGAATGTTATATTTAAAGCACGTAACATCACCTACTGTGCAGTAACATTACATCAACCTGTACTAGTTATATCTGTTCTACATTATCTTAGAATGTTTTAATACTTTTTTCTTTTAATATTTGCATGATGGGATGGTTATAACAAAAAGGAATAAAACATAGTTGTACAGACTCCCGGCAGAGAAGGGGAAAAAAGAAAAGATGCACTGTACAGGAAAATTTGAGTCTTAGCACAGGTTCAAAATAACTACGTATCTCATTTAACTTTTACTGCAAGTTTCTGCAAGGTTTTCAATAATAAGTTACTTCAAAGGCTTTTTATGTTAGTTATCAAATAATTACTGGTCAGTACTTGGGACAAAGACAGCTTCATGCACAAAAAGTAAATCTCTCAGTCCCTGGAACAACTAACTGAAGCAGTTTGTCGTTAGTAGTTTCGCATACGTATTGAAACAATTTATGTATGTTTATGTATTGAAACAATCAACATTTCTGACAGTTTAAAAAAAAGTAACTTTGTCAGATGGGCTACATTTCTGATACACAAGAAATATCTAATGCAAAGATGATAGGCTGCCTTGCATAAATGAAAGCCCAAACGACTTCCAGACTCAAGAAGCAACGTATCCTTAGCTTATTAGCCTACATAAATAATTTATGATTACATGGGTGTATAGCAAATCTATGACAGATTCCAGCTCTTCACCCCAAGATCCCAGGTCAAGGCACAGGTGCCTCCATTTTTGAAGCGGAGATCATACTAATTTTACATGAGGCTTACAGTGATCAGTAACTGGTGAATCACATCTCAAAGACAAAACTTAACCAAGGTGCATACAAATTCCTTAAAAAGCTGGAAGCTTGGCAGCCTCAAGTCTGGCTATACAAATATCTTTTATAAAATATGTCTAATTATGGAAGTTTGGCACTAACTCTAGCAATGCACAGTGAGATATTTTTCAGAATAGTACTCCTGGGCACGGGGTAGGACAAGTGAAATTGAGAAGATTATTTTCTTGCACGCATTTTTCACATAAGAGGTTGGTGAACCTGTGACGTAAGACTAGCTTTACTTCCCGTTTCCAAATAATCTCAGCTGTGGCTTTTCTTGCTCTTCAGAATTACCATATCCTTCAATCAGAGCTGACAGGGCAGCAAGAGAATTATTAAAACCAAAAGTCCCTCCCCTCCTTCTCCTCTCCCTGGCCTCCAACTCACCTTCCTGAAAAGCTGATCAAATGCTAGGTATCAGTAAAGGTTGTGGCTTCCAACTGAGCTAGATTACTGAACACTGATTACTGCACCATACCAAATCCTACTAAAATACAGACCAGAAATTTTATTCAGGGGGCCCCCCCCCCCCTTCGATTCCCCACTCCCACCCCCTTTTTAAGCTTATCATCAAATTTGGTGATTACATCTTAAAATATAAACATCCTACTACACACTTCACCAACAACCAGCCTTCCCCCTTCCTTTCCTGGAAGGATCAATATCTACTACTTGAGGTCTCAAAATCCATAAACATTTTTAGGATTTGTAATCATTCCCAAGAACAGCTTTTTTTTCAAATCTAGACAAGGTAAGAGCAGATGAACTGAAAGCACAGTATTTCACAGCTCCACATTTACATATTATGCCTTCTAACACACATATGCATAACCTAATATCCTTTTCTAGTTGGGAATAAATTGTTGCATGGAACTAACCTGCTTTTACTTCAGCTTTCATCATTCTCCTGGACCCACCTTATCCTGACATTTAAAACACCCATTACATGGATGTTTAACTGCTGGGTAATAGTGGGCACCTGGAATATCACTAACTTTTCTTTAATCATCTAATGAAATACAAAGCTATCTATACTAGCTGTCTCCAGCCAGCACACAGTCAGATTTTTCTTTTCTTCAACCATGGGTTAAGAAACCATGCTAGTGTGCTCTAGGCAACTACAGAGCCCTGCAGTTTTGCTGTGTGGATCCGAATTTACTGCACTTTTTTCTGAATAGCGGTGAACACTTTTGCCTCAACACTTGAGAGAAATGCCACGGATCTCAGTAAGTTCTATTTGTCAAGAAATACAAACAAGTGTTTTTAAGACAGAATGAGATCATCATCAGTATATCTAAACTATTAAAGTAAAAGTGAATGAAGTTTCTTGCTCTGAGAGACCTGTGAGTAAGTAAAGCAACTACAGTCTAAAAAAATCATAATGGCAGACAACCAACTGGACTGGATTTAAAAAAAACCCTCATATTTCAGAGTACAGAAGCCAGTGGTGTTGACAAAGTGCTGCTTTTCTACACAGAGCAAATGGTGGACGGACAGAATTGTAAAAAATATTTACTTTGCATAAAGTGAGCTAGAGCAGCATGTTATTTCTAAAGGAATTAACTATCCAGGATGACGGGTACACTGTTGATAGACTGGGCTTGTGGACATGCTTACTTGGCAAAACGTAGAGCAACAAAGCAAAGGATCAGGTCTGATCATTTAAAATGGGTACAAAACCAAAGATACAGAGTCCAGAGGGCACTTGTGGATAACATGCTTAAACAGTCTACATGCTGTTTGGCAGCCGTAAAAAGGCAAACATGGCCCCAGGGTGTTATCTACAGGGGTATGGTAGATAAATCTGTAGAAGTTATTCTGACATTACATAAAGACTCAGTGAGACCTCATTAACTCAAATGCCATTCTGGTCACTACAGTAGAAAAGATCTCTCAGACAACGAAAAGATGTAGCAAAAACCAACTGTTAAAAAAAAAAACACACAAAAAAACCCCCACACAAACACACAGTATTTCTAATTTAGAATAACATATATATATTTTTTTTTAAAGTGTCTGAAAACTCTTACAACTAAAAGGAAACTGCCTTTTACTTAACATGCTGATATGGCCACAAGATATCATTAAGCGAAACTGCTGAAGGTACCTTGTTTATTCCATTCTTTCTTGAAAAAGGAAAAAAAAATTGGGAGAGGTGAGAGCAGAATATTTTGCAGAATAGGATCAAAGCCATTAAGGAAATTGCCTTAAAATATCTTCTTTAGACATTATGAGTAAGGTTAACTCATGCAAGATTTTGAACAGGTATTGTGAGTCACAATATAATTCACAGAAGCTGCTGACAACTGATAACACTACAAAAGTAGTCTGAACACATCACTTGTGTGTGCAAATCACATTTCAATACAGCATACCTTACTTACACAAGCATGTAGGATTTCCTTACCGAATCATCAAGGCCATCTATATGTAAAACCACTGTCTTGGCACGTTTATTTGTGCTGCCCAAGAAAAACTGAGCTTTCCGTCGACGATAGTTCATCTCATTCATATTGTCCATGTCTGACATGTGGGAAGACTGAAGAATATCATACACTTCAGAAGCTAAAAGTTTAGTCTCTCCTGGTGTGGTAGTCCTTAAAGGAAAAGGCATTAAGATTTGTAAGGATTTATTTTTACATTAGTACTGCAAATAGCAGCCACTTACATCCCAGTAACTGGAATACTCTATTGTTACAACAGAAATAGAATTATATAGTCAATATGTAGCAAAAAATATTAAAAGATTACTTTAAAAATAGTAATAATAAAAAAAACCCACGGGTGTCAGTGAACCAAATATTCAGCCAACATTCATCACTCATTTCTAGCTGAAACCAGAGTCTTTGGGCTAGGTTTGTATCTATGAGCTTCTGTTCTGTCACGTATGTTTATTGCTGTGAAAGAACTCAGTCATTTTTATTTCCGTGCCCCAGAAGGCATCATGCTCATTAGAGACCCAAAACCACAGCTAAACCCTTTTTCAAAAAGAAGTTTTTGAAGGAGCATTTCCTTTTCCATACTCCAATTATTCACTTGATCTGTTTTAACTCTAACAACATCATAAGCGAGTTTACAAACTGAAGTAATATCATTTACATTAGTTTGACAATTGCAAAGCAAATGCAGCATTAGATGCTCAGTACACCATTGTTAGTCATGTCTAGATTTCCTTTTTTAAAAAGATCTCCCATTGCTTTTTAGACAAACATGTCATCTTCCACCTCCGTCACTCAGATAATAAAAATAATTCCTCTGTAAAACTTTATCCTTCAAACTGCTTTCTCCTCTGAAGATACCTAGTATCAACAGCAAAGCAGGATCACAAGTGTTCTTAAAGAATCCAAAGGATATTTCCAATTAGACTAAAACTTGTCGTTAGAACTATATGGTAATTTTTTTTTAAGATGAAAAAAATATAGATAGTAGACAGCATATATTTATTCCTTATGCTTTATCAAAACTGATTATAATAAGGTACTACTATAAATCTTTTGTCCAAACACAACCCTGTTTTAATTAGGTCAATGATTTAAAAGTATGGGCAGGAACAAAATCATTACAGCATCAAGTTTCAATTAATCTTAAAATGATAAATCACAGCTTTGCTGCTTTGGTTTGCAAATCCTAAATAAGTAAGAAGTACCTTTAGGTTTTTTTTCTTTCTCCATTTAACTTCCTTAACTATCATACGTTAAACACTTTATCTATCCTAGCATATGGCCAGAAAAGAACACTGATGCAAGTATCTTAGGAGTTCTCAACCTGTGGGTCTCCCAGCTAGTCTTACCCCCTCGTTCTTATTTTTCCTGCAGCTGTGTTTTGGACAGCATCCCTTTGGAAAGGAAAAAGTGAGTTCTTCTGAATACTCAAGTACAATGATATAATTAAAAAAAAAAATGTATCGCAAGAGATTGTCTAAATATAATAAGCAAGCAAAGACCAAAGACAGCAAAGCAGTTACGCATGTGCTCAATTTTAAATACATGCTTACCTTCTGTTTACCTACAGGGAAACAGATGCTTTAATTAATTCATAAAAATGAGCGCTGGGAACACACAAAGATTTCTACTTCATCCTTCCACACTTTCTTGGATAAAGTTGAAAAAGTAATTGAACTTAGTCAATAAAGTTAAACAGCAAAACCATGCAAGTTAGTGTTTTCAGGCAGTCATATATTAGTTTGTGCAAAAGTGGCAGCTTATCAAGACACTAAAAATAATTACCTAGCCATTATCTTTGATAAATTCTTTCTACCGAAATGAATATGGATAGGATTTTTTTTTTTTTAAACAATTAAGTAATAACATTATTTAAATTTCACTATCCCACCCACAGCAAGCACTAGGCAATTTTAGTAGGAATTTTTACTTGAATACAATTGTATCATTTAATCAGGAGGCTGTCATGAAATTAAAAAACAAAATCAGAAAAAGACAAGGGAGAAATAAAATATATTTAAAAGAATATTAGCCATAAAAAAAAAAAAGGAACTCAAAGTTGCCAGTATGACAGCAAATATAAGATGCACAAGCATGTGTAAAAAACCAACAGTGAATTTCATAATGTTTAGCACTCCCAACATCATAGCTGGCATAGTTTTAAGATTAATGACTAAGATGAATTGTACTATCCAAACAACCTGTTCATTTGAAAGCATAAGTCTAAATATGCTCTTGATATAAGTATTCTAAGTTATTCCTAAAACAAGTCTATATAAATAAATACACATGCGTACACACAAACTTAAACAAGCTAGTCTGAACTCTGTATTTTTCCAAATACAGATTTCTATAGTCTATCACTGTTAAGTTACAGACAATAACACTAGTAACCCCTTCTACGTTAAATAAGATAAACCCCCAAACCACATGATTTTAATCTTGTATTGCTCAAGAGACTCTCTTTATAAGAAACACTCTTTATGTAGTTACAGAAGCAGCATGAAACTAAGACACGGGATCACAAGGGAAGGAACCACTGATATGATATTAAGACTATCAGACTGCAAAACAATCCGCAATAAAGGTATAAGCCAAAGTTTTATTCTGCAGTAATGCAACACTATCAGCAATTTGATTAAAAAACAACCACAAAAAAAAAGACCCCCAATATACACACAGTCCCATACAAAGCCTTCTACAATTTCAGTGCACTAGTAAAATGAGAGGACAGTGTACTGGTAAAATGACAGAACACAAGTTTTGCATCAATCTGTTGCTCTTTCATTAAAGATATTCGTATCACAGCTATACAAAGGATCTTAACAACTTTAAGAAAAAAAAAAAGTATCCGCATTACAAGCAAGTATAATAAACCTTCTCTATTGTAAAACCAAGGTGATGGTCAACACTGACTGTTCCTTGACATCCTATATTGGTAAAGATAAAAACAACTAAACTACAAATAGAATTAATACACAGTTAAATGGAGGAAGTTTTAAAAAATAAAGGTAACACTTGGGCTGTGTTTTTGTTGACCAAAATAAGAAAAATTGCAATCTCAAGAGACTAGGATTCTGAGGGTACCGACAGAGGTCCTCTAATGAGCTCTGCTTCAGTAGCTTCAGGTATTGCTCCTGGATGTCCGACATGGTCTCCTGCCTCTAGCTGAGAAGAACTCCTGCTCAGCTTTCAGGCACCCCAGTTCAAAACCGAGTATAGTATTTTATTCACCAGCAAAGGCGAGAACATACTACAGAGTTGCTATGGACTGACTAGTGTTCTACTGCTCTGCCAGGCAAACGGTAATCTCTGGTTAATAACATCTCAAGAATTGGTAGCATCTTATACTACTTCAGCAAGATTCAGAAGATGCCTATCAGAAACCCAAACCTTTAATTTTCACTGCTGTCTTGGAACTCCTGTCATCCTAGACTGCTGCCTGTCCTTCCATTATGTTCACACAAGGCCTGGCTGAACCAGTAATATGGACACACAATCCAAGTGACATGTGCCGCATCTGTTAGAAGAGGATGCAAGAAACAGTTCTCATTTAATATGCAATTTAAAATAACTTTGTAAACATGGCACAAGTGTTGCAGAGGTTTTATTTGCATCGCAAGACATTAAGAAGTTTTAGCTAAACTTAAACCACAGGAAAGTTACTGGCCACAACCCCAAGGTTATATGTGGTGTGCATGAACATGCGTATGTTTGGAAAGAAAGCGCGGGCTGCGCAGTACTATGGCTGTAAACCAGCATGTGATCCGAGTACACACGCAGCATCACAACTGTTAACAGAAGAGCTCTGACAGTCTTGTTTGTATCTGACCTAAAGCTGTATCTAACCTAAAGATAACAAAGCTGTGTTTCTTCCTTTAGAAAAAGCACAAAGGCTAAAGACGACTAATATATTAAATGAGTGGATTTTCCCCTCTTGTAAAAAAAGATACAAATACATATATGTTTATATATATATACACACACACACACCCCTATATCTAAAAACAAAAAAATCACTGTTGTTTTTAAACCTAAAATATTGTATGTGTATATTTTACATATCTAGATATAACACACATATATTTGATATTTCATAGGTGTGTGTTTATATATAAAACATACACATAGTTTTATATATACATGCCCCCCCCAACATATAAATATACAAAAAAAAACAACCTACATCACAGGAAACAGATGCAACCCTAACCCAGTTCAAAGTACAGCAGACCCTGGGCACCAAGCACAGAAAATAAATACAGTTCCTTAGTAGCACGCACTGGGTTCTAATGACATATTAGCTAAACACAGAGACAACAAACACACTATAATGGAATTTCATCAGAGTTTTTTTACTGAGTTTATAACCTAGAGGAAGGAGGTTCTCAAATTAAAGAGGACATCTTTGTTCCTCAGAGATTCAGTGACATCCCAGACTCTATCAAAAGGAGACTTGTGTCATTTAATTCCAGATGTGAAGTTCAGTCTGAGTTCTATAATCACGCTGCTTTTGGCTGCATTTGCTCAATTTATCCACTATGCACAATAAGAGAAAGATACTTAACCCATTGAACGCACGATTAGAAATTGAGGAGCGATTAGGTAAATTCAAACAGGATATCCATTTTTATCTACTTGTGGATATCTATTTTTACTTACTTGTGAAGAAGGAATACTGCTGCACACAGTCAGTTATGAACTTTTATAAGAAGCAGCAAATGTTTACATAACCTGCCACACAACCAAAACAGAATATAGTTTAAGATTATTTTAGAAATCGAACTTTTACATAAGTAACTCAAAGACATATTTAATTCTCCTGGCAACTATTTCCCTTATGTAGCATTTTCCAAAGTTTTGCATGCCAGTTTACGTAACTGTAGCCCACCTGATAATCTAGAATGTCTGAAATATATGCAGCTGTGTAATTTTATTTTGATTTCTCCTCAGGAACTTATTTGTTGCCATATTTAGTCTTCTATTGTTCAACGCTCACTCCTTAAGTGTTTTATCTTAAGATATCACAAACTAAAGGCGTGGACAGATGGAAAAACAGGCTTTCTCCGTCATTAAAAAAGACTTGCCAGTTTGTATTTCAAACCTTTTCACCTTACCTTATAGGGTAGTTTTACTAGCTGCAGTCAGAGAAAAAG